AAAATGCAAAAAATATGATGAGTTTGTACTTGTGATTATCATTCCATTCATATTTTTTAGATTTTCTTAAGAGGTGGTTCAAAAAAATTAATGAATTCAATTTATTTTATTGATTAAATTAAAGGCAACACTTATTATTAGTATTACACCCCAACCAACCCAATTTGGTAGACACAAAATTTGTTAAAGGAAAAACTCGGTTGAAACATAAGGGTAGCACGCTTATTTACATCGACTTTAACATTACAGACCTGCATTTGTTTTATGCGTTCACTTGATTCCGCGAATGTGAAATAGACATGTTTATAATCAACCAATTGTGAATTTCACCGTCAAGAATTAAAATAAAACCCAATGTTTTATATAATAAGCGGAAGTCGAAGCAATAAAACCGACGGTCGTTTTGTTTACAGTTTCTGTGTTTGGCTTTCACGTATGCTGTTACGCCTGTCATCTTAAATTAACAATGTTTATACATACACGATTTTCAGTTGCCTCTGATACGTAGGTATACGTGAGTAAATTGTTTCGTTATTTTATTGATTATTACAAATCAATATTCAAACGACCCAATTCATTTTCCCGAAAATTTGAGAATATAATAATTTTATTCTTAGTATTACACTACATCTATCCCAACTGATATACGTGTCCTTGCAAAAATGTTGATGACGTCATCGCAATTTTTTTTTAAATTCCCACTACAAAAATGTAATGAGAAAAAAAACACAATAGGCATGCAGTCGTCAAGTTTCCGACAGCGAGGGAAGTACTGTCTAAACTCTTTAGACCAATTTTTTAAGAAATAATCACATCAAACATTGCGTACATAATCTCAATTTTTCTTTTTGAACCGGTGGTCGCAAAAGTTGAATTTGCTCCCTCTAAATGAGTCGACATTTGCATGCGTCATTGCTGCTAGTGAAAAAAATATTTTATACTACACGCAAAGTACTTCACTTTAGAAACATTTAATGAGAGATTACATATGTTTAATTTTGGTGATGAAGTTACGAACAGACCACCGAAATTACACAAAGTTTTCACACTAAAAATAAAATTTCTATGTCTGCTAGTGAAATGCGATGTTTTGTAACTTATTTTGGTGTTAGGTTAGGTTTAGGAGATCTTGTTCCAGAACCTGATGAATTCTGGAAATTTGATATAGTCTTACGAGAAATAGTCAATTTAGTAACAACAACTAATGTTACAAATGAAACTCCAGATACTTTGGAAACTTATATTATGGAACACAATCAGCTTTATCAAACACTTTTTCAAGATACTCTTAAACCTAAGCATCATCTACTATCTCATTATTCACGTATTATGCAAAAGATAGGACCACTTGGTTGTATATCTTCAATTCGGTATGAATCAAAGCACCGACCATTTAAAACAGCTGCAACTGTTTGTGTTCTCGACGAAATATAACAAAGACATTATCTACTAAACATCAGTTACAACTTTGTTATAGGTTTATTAGTAACGAAGGTTTCAAGAGTAGAGATTTGGTAGGATCATTTGAATATCACTCATCCACTTTATTACAAAATTATCTAGATATTCTTCCAAATTCGTTTTCACATTGTTTTGTAGCTAAGTGGGTTTCGTATGGAAATATTAAGTTAAAACCTACATCTGCTATTTTGGTAGGGTTTAATGCAGAGCTTCTTCCTGAATTTGGAGTTTTAAATGCTATTGTTGTAAATGAATCAAATGAAGTTGGATTTATTTATACAAAATTAGAAACTTTGTGTTTTAATTATCACCTATTTGCTTATGAAGTTGAACCCACAACAGATATTAAGTTTTTTACATATATTGATATGATTGAGAATCCTCTTGTATCATTATGCACCATGGCAAATGGTAAAAAATGCATTGTTATGCAAAATGTTCCCTCATTACCTCATAAGTATTAGTGTAGTTATTTGATCATTAGTAATATAAGTTTTTTGTAAATTGTCTCTAAAATATAATACTTATTAAACATCAAAACAGTGTTTCACTTCCCCCTTAATAATAATAATTTTAAGTAATAACCTTTGGCTGTCATAACAAAGTGAAATTTGTTCTGGATTAACATTTATTTGTTACCACAAATATCTCTATATATGCCATTACAACTGGCATTTAGTTGCAGATAACAATCTTCTCATTATTTACGTTCATCATTTTGCATTGTTCGTCCAACAAACTGAGAATTTTGTGTAGAATAAAACATTTTGTTGTTAAACGAAACAGAAAATTTGTTGCTGCAAGACACAAATTTTGTTTCGCTAACACAACTGTTAATAAGAATAAAACTCTTTTGAAACAACAAATTCTTTAGTTGAGGCTATATTAACATACAAAATTTGTTATGGTGGTCAATATCTTTGTTGTCAGAAGAAATTATTATTTTGGGATGGAAGTAATTTAAAATTTTCGCTTACTACGGAAGATGAGGTTTTAGACATAATTTCTGCTCTAAAATCAAATGCGTCAGGATATGATGGAATTACCCTTCAGATGATCAAATTATGCTTCTCTGTTATATGTAAACATATGGTTCACATTATCAATTGCTGTTTAGAGACTGTTTTTTTTCCACAAAGTTGGAAAATGGCCCTTGTCCGTCCTGTTCCCAAATCAACTGTTGTCAAATCGTTATCTGATTTACGGCCTATAAGTATCCTTCCAGCGTTATCAAAAATCCTTGAGAAAGTTATTTATGAACAGGTTTATAATTACATCTCTGCTGAGAGCATTCTAACAGAAGATCAATCTGGTTTTCGTACAGGCTTCAGTACAACTTCTATTTTAGCAGTCACAGTGGATGACTGTATAGACTCCATTGATAAAAACTATGCAGCTGTAGCTACCTTTCTAGACTTCTCTAAGGCTTTTGATACGCTGGATCACGACCTACTATGTGCTAAATTGCAGTACTATGGTTTTGATTTAACTACGACTAATTTTTTTAGATCATATCTTTCCAATCGTTATCAATAAGTTGTGCTTGAATCAGGAAAATCTGAATTAGCATTAATTACATCGGGTATCCCTCAGGGATCGATCTTAGGACCCATCTTATTTATTATATATACTGCCCAATTGCTAAGCATGCCTTCATCAAGTAAAAAAAGAGCGTTTGCTGACGATACGCAACTTTTGCTTCATTTTCCCTTCCCTAGTTGAGGATGCGTGTAATGATGTAAATAAAGATCTTGTGAATATTGTTAAAGCTAGGTCTTCAATCAATTTAAAACTTAATGCTGATAAATGCAAACTAATGTGCTTTGCACCTAAAAAACTCCGAATGGCTATTGCTAATAATATAGATATTAGAATTGGAAATAAGAAGCTGCCTGTTTTGCAAACTGTAAAGAACTTAGGTCTCTTTATTGATGATGATTTTAAATTTAAATCTCATGTTTCGAACGTCATAAAAAAATGTTATTCGGCGCTAAAAATGCTTTATTCCAATTTTTTAATTTTGAACTTCAAACTCAGGAAAAAATTGTGTGAAGCGTTAGTATTATCTCATATTAACTACTGTTTTATAATATACTATCCATTTCTTGATTGTGTTGACAAAAATCGTCTTCAAAAAATTCAAAATAACTGCTGCCGCTTTATTTTTGGGTTGAGGAAATATGACCATGTGTCAGCCAAAATTCGTGAACTTGGGTGGATGAAGCTGGACGTAGTATTTCAATATCATTTAGCAGTTTTTGTATATCGGTTTTTTTAAAACTCCATCACCTCCGTACTTGCGTAGGAAGTTTCGCTCAAGACAAAGTATTTTAGATACTAATATACCACTAAGGAACCTTCAGCAGTTGTCAATGCCAAGATTGTTTACCTCTATTTTTTTTAAATCGTTGTCATTTAAAATTATTAAGTCTTATAATCAGTTTAATTCTGAATTGCTGTACTGTACTTCTGTGAACAGCTTTCGGAAAAAAATAAAAAACATTCTGTTGCACTCGGAATCGTCATAAATTTAGCTATCTGGGACGCCTATATTTGTAGATATATATTCTGTATCCAAATTCTTAATATTTACTGTTAAATTATTGTGTGAATTATATATTTTTGTTGTCGTTATTATATACATATTTATATTATTATTTTTTTCATAACTATTGCGTCTCTAAGTTAATTTTATTATTTTATTGTTTTTGCATTGAGAATATTTATTTTGTAAGGTTGAGTGGAATAGCCTATGGCTAGACTAGTTATAATATAAACAGATGAATTTTTAATCATTTCCTAAGGACGACTTACTTACAATATTTAAACCGGTTATGCAATTAAAGTTGTACTTTATATCGTCAATCGACATCATTATTTTGAAAAAACTCAATCATGTGCGTAATAGCGGTGCAAAAAATTATTTTCTGTGCAGACAGGATTATTTGAAGTAATTAAAATAAGTGACGAGTCGAGGATTTTCATACATGAAGTTTATTTCGACAGAACTTCCCTAGCCCATGAAATACAATAAAACCATGATTATGATAACCTTAAATATTATTGTGTCAAATTTTATAAAATTTAAAAAAACTTACTAAGTAATATAAATTTTAGTTTAACGTTTAATCATCTACACGATATTCCCAATATACATACAAAATATGACCACAAGCGGTCCAGTAGTTTCGGAAATTACTTGTCTAATAAAAATGGATACAGACACCAGACAGACAGACAGACGGAAACGGGAGACCACTTTTTCGTACTCTAGGGGTCATGACACGTCGAGAAAATAAGAAAGTGCCAATTCGGCCGATGGACTCGATTACTAATACTTCGTTAGCTTACTCTCGGGAAGTAAAAACGAACAAACCAAACAAAAAAATATGTTTTGTCCACTACTGATAAGTACTTGAATAAATAAACATAAAAAATCGCTTTGAAGTAACCGCTTTGAAATTTGCAAATATAATAAACGAAAGCATTTTTAAATAATTAAGTGAAATTTAAACTACTTTGGTCAATTTTTACCTTACCAGAAATCGAACAACTTCCTCGCTTTCAACAAATATTTTCATTTTTTTCCAGTCGAAAGAGGCTTTGTTTCGATAAAAGTCCAACGGTCCTGGAGGAAAATCGGGTAAGAGTGACGACATTTTTGCTAAAATTTGCGAAACGAGTTTGATATTATGTAGTCTGCTCTAGCAACAACTGAATACGTTAAATGTAAACACTCGTTTATTTATGTTAACATGAGATGCGGGGAAAACGTTTAACACTAGCGAGCGGATTTGTATGCGCTTGAAAATTACGAAACTTCAAAAATAATTTGTGTTAGCAAAAATGATTTAATTCCACTTAATGACAGTGATTTTAGTTGTTTAGAACTACTAAAGAATATACTTAGCTATTTGTTTATTCATTTCGCTTTCCACATTTTTAATTCAAGTTGTAAATAATTATAGTTTTTACGTAAATGCTCTGTACAAAGTTTTTGTACCTTTGTGTTCAAGATGGCGGCTTAACAACGCCTTGTCTTAAAGGTCAGTTTTACACTCATATTTGTACCAGATCTGTTTGATGGTTTCAACAAAACTGTGCTCCGCTTCATTATGCGACTAATATTCAGAAAAATGTTGCCAAGAACAGTATTCTAGGAGTGGTTAAAATTTCGCCCACTTTGTACTACTAATAATAAATGTAAAAAGACTTGATTCGTGGATCATTATTAATATTATTACCATTAGTATTACATAAATTAAAGAAATCTTTAATGACTCATTGAATTTTTGGTAACAATGATAATAAGAAAATTTGCGTTATCTGGATGAACGCATACTCAAACTTTTGGCAAAAAATACTTGCGTGTCCTTTTTAACCTTATAAAGTATCTATATTTAAATGAGGTACCTAGGTAAGGAGTGCAGGATTGTAATGTGATGCACTATGACGCACATATGCAGACAATCAAAGAATAACAAAGAAATCTTTCCCTATTATCATCGTATAATCGGTGCTCCCATGTCAAATGTAACGAACAAAAAAATATGTTTTGTCGACTACTGCTGATAAGTACAGGAATAAATAAACATAAAAAATCATTTGGAGAAGCCGCCTTGAAATTTGCAAATAATGCGTTTTAAATAATTTGGCAGTTTTTTCTAGCTGAGTAAGAAAGTTGTGTGTCCCATTTTAGCAACAACTGAATACATTAAACATGAACACTCATTTATATTTAAGTGAAAATTTGACTACGTTAGTGTGGAAATGAAAACAAACGCAAAACGAGCCGGATTTGTATGCGCATGAAAATTATAAAACTACAAGGTTATGATAAAGTCATGTACATAATTCATAAAATTCATGTCAAGCCTTTTATTTTACTCCCCATTTTTAATATGTCGAAAAATGTATGTCCAATTTGTAAAAGTATGACGTAATCAATGATTTTTTTAAATGGGACGCTATAATTTTGATCCGATTATTTGATAAAGCTTAATTTCCTACACATGATGTAGGAGTTGCATAACAAAAAAAAGGTCGAAAGTTATTTCGACAGAACTTTCCTCGCTTCTGAAGTACATTCCAACAAACCAACTGTTCTCATAAAAACTATAAAATTGGATTTTGCCGAATATTACTTTTTCGTGATAACCTCTATGGAGTAAAAGCAATATAGAAGGTACTTGTCACAGTGTAATAGAAAAAAAAGAAGGTTCGTCTTCTTAAAAAAAAAAACAGTTGGAAGCCCCCAAAAGTAGCCAGTTATATATTTGGACGAATTGTTTAAATATCTGGGCACGACGGCGACGGTCACTCCGCCGATAAGCAACTGATGCAATACACGTTATTCTTGTAAAGTTTCCGGGAGAGACTTTTGATGTATTCATTAATGAATCATATTTTAATTTTGTATTGTATTACAACCAGTGCATTGATTCACACCAAGCATAATGGAAAAATATAAATGCGTTGTAAAGTACATGGATAAACTACATATAGTGTAATAATAACAGTTATCTATTCTATTATTCTATTTTAAAAAAATTGGTCGAAAGCTGTTGCGACAGAACTTCCCCCGCACCTAAAGTACAGTGAAACATATCCAGCATTTTTGAGTTGAGTTTTTACTCTACAGAATTTTGTGATGACGTCATCAACATTTTTTCAAGGACATGTATATCAACTTGGATTGGCGCACTGTAATACTAAAAATAACAGTATTATATTCCCAAAACTTCATTCTAATTCATGCTAATTTCTTGTAGAGAAATGAGGATTTTGCAATTAAACTCCGCCCTTCAGCTCACGATGAATAAAATATTCATCACAAATGAGAAGGGGTGGGTGGGCGGGGCTTATATTTTGTCCATTTTTTCTTAATGTATGAAGTCTTCTTTTCCCAACAAGAAACTGAAAACATGTTTAAATATCCTGCTGTTGAAAGAAAACTCTATATATTTAAAAAACAAAAAAAGTAAGCCCCACCCACCCGCCCGGATTACAATTGTGACGAGTTTTTAAAGGCGGAGTTTAATTGTAACATCAATATTTTTCCAAAAAATTCTATCCTTTTATAAACATATTTCAGATGGTTATTTCTTGTAGAGAAATGAGGATTTTGCAACTAAACTCCGCCCTTCTACTCACGATGAATAAAGCATTCGTCACAATTGAGAAAGGGTGGGTGGGCGGGGCTTATATTTTGTCCATTTTTTCTTAAAGTATGAAGTCTTCTTTTCCCAACAAGAAACTGAAAACATGTTTAACTATCTTGTTATTGAAATAAAACTCTATATATTAAAAAAACAAAAAAAAAGTAAGCCCCCCCCACCCGCCCGGATTTCAATTGTGACGAGTTTTTAAAGGCGGAGTTTAATTGTAACATCAATATTTTTCCAAAAAATTCTATCCTTTTAAAAACATATTTCAGATGGTTATTTCTTGTAGAGAAATGAGGATTTTGCAAACTAAACTCCGCCCTTCAACTGACGATGCAGAAAACATTCATCCAATTGAGAGGGGGTGGGTGGGCGGGGCTTATACTTTGTCCATTTTTCTTAATTAAGAAGTATTCTTTTCCCAACAAGAAACTGAAAACATGTTTAACTTCCTGTTGTCGAAAAAAAAAACTCTATTATTAAAAAAACAAAAAAAAAAGTAAGCCCCACCCACCCGGATTTCAATTGTGATGAGTCTTTAACGGTGGAGTTTAATTGTAACATCAATATTTCTCTATAAAATTCCACCCTTTTAAAAACATATTTCAGATGGTTATTTCTTGTAGCGAAATGAGGATTTTGCAAACTAAACTCCGCCCTTCAACTGACGATGCAGAAAACATTCATCCAATTGAGAAGAGGGTGGGCGGAGCTTACATTTTGTCCATAATTTTTTTAGAGGGATGAGCAAATACATTTTGATCAAAAATTTACCCTGTTTATGATAACTTTAAAACATCTCACAGATTTCAAAGGATTCGGCTTTCCAGTTCCTGATTAAATCAATAAAATATATTAACGCATTCATTAATTTTTTTTGAGTCACCCTGTTTAAGCAAATTTAAAAAGTATGAATGCAATGATGAATCACAAGTAAAAACATCATATTTTGTACATTTCGGGTAGATTTAGAAATTTAACTCGTTGCTATGGAAATTTGCAATTTAACACCTTTACATTTCACAAGTTTTTACAAAGTTAATAGGATCAAAATAAGTTTTATGTTAAAAAATACTAGGCCCGCCCACCCGCCCCCTATTTTTCAAGAGGATATGTCATTTGCCGAAATGTGCCCTTTATTTTCTCAAAGCGTAGTAGTTGTTACTACTTGCTAAGATAAGTCGTATTTTGGCAAATAACATGTCTTCTGTGAAAATAGGGGTGGGTGGGCGGGGCTAGTACTTGCTCAGATAAGACTCATTTTGGCAAACGCTAGATCCTCTGAGAAAATAGAGGGCGGGTGGGCGGGGCTAGTACTTAGAAAGGTAAAACTTATTTTGGCAAATGACAAACTCTGAGAAAATGTCTATCTGACAGACAGACAGACGGAAAGAGGAGACCACCTTTTTCGTTCTTTGGAGGTCATGACACGTCGAGAAAATACGAAAGTGGCAATTCGACTGATGGACTTGATTACTATACTTCCTTAGCTTACGCTCGGAAAGTAAAAAATTATTGATGACGTCATAATATTTACAAATTTGAAGTAAAATTTGTTTGACATGTCAAAAAATGGAGAGTAAAATAAAAACTTGACATGTTTTTGCATTATCATTTTCTTCAATGTCTTGTAGTTTATAAAAATAAATAAATTATGCACAAAATGAAATAGGAACAAATAACAAAAAAAATGTACTAATAAGATTGGATTTAATGTTTGCTTTCTTAACAATACTAAATTAACCGATTTTGAATAAACATGTTTTATAAGATTTCGAAAAATTCTCCTCAGCTGTCTAAAAAAGTTCGAAATATTTGTAACAAAATAGGATAATTTGATGCCACTAGTTCAAATTTACCACCTAAAAGCGGGCCACTGCTGTGACCTTGAAACCAAGATTTTGGTGGAAAAAACTGCTATCTTCACCTACTGCATAAGGCAAATATCTTTTTGTAGAAATTGAATAATGACTTGAGCTGAGTCAACTGAAACAATATTCTTTAACGATCTCACACTTAACGCTTCGTTATAATGACATCCATTGCAAATATAGCTGAAATTATCAAGTATCAGTTATTTACTTAGTTGCAAAATTCAAGCAAATATTCAACGTACTGCCACTAAACAAATGAATAATCCTTGGGTTCTCGTCCTGTGACATTAGTGATTTAACAATCGCTTCGACATTAAAGGAAACATCAACAGCTGAAATATTCATCGGCTTTCTCTTTTTTTTCAGTTCACACTGTTTAATCAGAGAGTCAAATCTGCCACCATTTGCCACCACCTGAGTTCCGCATACAGCACGAAACATAAAACCCGAAGAACTTCTTTGATTTACTAAAAGCGGTGCCAAATATATTGTCCAATTCTGAAATTGCAATTGTTAAGATCTCAGCCTACTTGCTGTTGGAATCCAATTACCATTCCGAATTTTTTCGCATTTTCCATGATCACTCTCAGCTGCTTGAATGCCGTCTGAATTAAATCAGATTTATTAAAAAATGTAGACAAATATTTCTCGCAACTTCCAACGTCATAATGTTGCATTATTTTGCAAAGAAACGAGTTTATTTTTTCATCTAATTGCAACGAAGAGAAGGTCTGTGCAGAAATTACAGTTGAATTAATCAAAAGGTTGGTTAATGTTGAAGAATCCTTTTTTGAAAGTCCACACCATTTTAAAATTTCTTTAAAGATAAGACCGTGGTTGATAATAATGATTTTTCTTCTTTCGTTTGGAAATGCTTCTTCTAAAACTTTCTGTGTGACGTGAAGCATTTCGGCATCAGCTACAAAATCTTCGACTTGGTTGCTAACAACTTGAAAGAGACACTCTTGGACTTCTGTGGGAGAATAGTAACCTTCTTCGAAAACTTTCTCTGTGGAGTATCTTCGGATTTTCTGGATTCTCTTATTGGCCACGTAGTAAGAAAATGAAATTCTGTGATAGAACGATGAATAACTTCTGTGGTTGATTTAAATTCTTACCTAGATGTGTTTGAGAGAGAAATGGAATTGCCACTAGTGTTCAGCAAAGTCGTCAGATTGTTAGAATGCTTGGGGAATGATGGCATGAAGATTGGCATTGGAATCTTTTGGCCTCCGTGTAACTTAAATATCTACAATTATTTATTTTTAACTCTTGTCGACTATTATTGTTACTACTTCTTGTAACTCACCTGTTTTGCCTTTTTCAGAAAAAGAGTAGTGGCTGCGACTTTTTCAGGACTTATCGATTTCAAGGCTCCTTCAAAAAATTTGCGTTCTTGGTTCGTCACCCTTCTACTTTGCTGAATCACTGCTTTGATTTCTTCGGTAGATTTGCCAGAAGTTAGAACTTTGAGAATTTGCTCACAACTTGGTCTTTCGTGGTGGTCGATGTGAAGAAGATTTCTATAATTCACGACGGTAGTAATCCATCATTCTAAACGTACTACCAACCTTAGAAGATTTTTCTTGTTGGTGTTGTTGGTCGCAAAATTAACACTTTTCCACTTTTCTTGTGTCAAGGGAAAAATGAAAGACTTTTCCATGTCGGTCATGGGTTTTGAACACATTTCGAAGTACGTTACACCTACAAAATATTATCATTTTTATTTAGTAGTAGTGAAAGTGTGACCACCTAAGCTGTATATGTCAGCTTTGATGTTGAACCTATTTCCTGCAAAAAGTTCCGGAGCTATGTAAACCTGCGTACCACAAGGAGCCGTAAGCGACCCATACGGAAGCTCTTCGCCTAAAACATGTCAATTACAGGTAATTTTTTCAATCATTTCTTTCCTATTACTTTGAAAAGCGTCCAACTCATTCTCCCGACAAATCTGCTTCGACAACCCAAAATCACCAATTTTGATCACATCGTCAGAAGTCAGAAAGATGTTCTCCGGTTTGAGATCCCGATGCACGATGTTGTTCCTGTGTATATAAGACAAACCCTCACAAATCCCTCTGAAATACTTAGCGACTTTGTCTTCGTCTAAATATAGATTGCTTCTGATGGAAGCCCTCAAGTTGCGCTTCTCGCACAGTTCCATTTGGATGTACAAATATCTCAATTCTATGTAGTTGTCCTGGAAGGCGACGACACTATCATCGTCGTCGTCGTCGTCGTACTCAGAATCGTCATAATATTCGTCTTCGTCGTCGAAATTGTCTTCGTCATCGTCTGCGTGCTCGCTACTCATATAACCGTCCAAAGACAATTTCTGAATTTCTGAACACAACTACAACAAAAAAACCGTAACCACGATGTCAATCATTGCAACCAAAAGGAAAACTTACATTTTCGTCTTCGCATTTCCCATATTCGGTACTCGGAACCCGTGCCGTCTCGATCCAAGAGTTGAAATATCGGACGATGTTGTTGTGGTTGAGTTCCGACAAAATTTTCGCCTCTCGTCTGATTGTGCCAAGATCCTCCATGTTTGACTCAAATTTGATTATTTTGATGGCGAATTCGTTGTTGTCACATTTTCGTTTGGCCTTTTTCGGAAATGTGTTACAAATGGTGATGAGAGGAGTTTGCACTTACTTTAAAAATTTGTCCGTATCCGCCTTCGCCTAAAGACTCTGCTAAATCAAACTCTTGGTCTAATTTTGTTGCGTATGTAGCAGCCTCTTGGTTTATCTTTGAGGTTCTTCTCTGCAGCATCTTCACGGTTAAGTTATTTGATCTGGAATGACTAGGTCTGGGTACTCTACCTATGTTTTTGTAGAAGATCTACGATTTATGTTATCAGAATGATTGCGAAATGGTTAGTTATTGTTTGAATCTTATCTGTTTTGATTGCGTGGGGGACATACTTTTTAAGTAGAAATTATCACTTATGATAACAAATTTTTCTAAATTTTTTGCAGAAATTTTTTTCTCTTGTCTGTTAGGACATTTTTATACCTAGAGAAGGATATCTCAACATCACACGATGTTGAACAAGAATATTTGAAATTAGAAATTTCAATGGGTTTCTTTTCTTGAAGTCCGGTGTAACGTATTTAGTTTTGTCAGATAATTTTAATTGTAAGATTCGATTTAGAGATTTTTTTGCTGATAACGAAGTAAAGAATGACTAATTTTATGTTTTTTCGACGTTTCTCGATTTTATATTACAATTTTTGGTTTCTTTATTTCCTTTATTTTTTTGTTGTTTTTTTCGACTTACAATTTTTTGTTTATTCAATTTTTCAGATTTTCAGGCTTTGATTTTTCAATTTCATGATTTTCCACGTTTAAAAGTTTTCAATATTTTGATTTTACAATACAGATTTTTCAAATTTTCGTTTCTTCAAATTTTCATGTTTGATTTTCACTTTGGACATTTTTCAAGTTTTCATTATATACTTTTTCGTTTTTTTATTTTTGATTCTTCAATTTCACAGTTTCTTGACTTCTAAATTTTTCGATTTTTAGAGTTGCAATTTTTTAATTTTGCAATTTTTCGATATTACAGTTTCTCATTTTTCGATTTTTCACATTCTCAGTTTTTAATTTTTGTCATTTTCAATTTTTCATTTTCCCGATTATTTTAATTTTAATTTTCTCGATTTTATGTCACAAATTTTCATTTTTTCAATTCCTGTATTTCTTGTTGTTTCTTTCGATTTTTCAATTTTTCGTTTCTTCACTTTTTCGAATTTTCAGTTTCTCAATTTTTCGTTTCCACAATTTTTCATGTTCCCGATTTTTATTTTTCAATGTGGCGAATTTTTAATTTTTATTTTTTCGATTTATATCACAATTGTCCGTTTTTTCATTTCCTTTATTTTCTGTGTTTTTTTTTCGATTTTCCAATTTTTCATTTGTTTGTCCATTTTTCAATTTTTAAATTTTTCACTTTGCAGTTTTTGGATTTCCAGTCTTCCGATTTTCCGATTTCTTTAATTTTCAATATTTCTATTTCATAATACATATTTTTTTTGATTTTTCACTTTTTCGATTCTTAGGATTTTTCAAGTTTTCATTTTGTAATTTTTTGTTTTTTATTTCTGATTTTTCAATTTTACAATTTCTCGACGTCCAAAATTTTCAGTTTTTCGTTCCTTCAATTTTTCGGTTTGCATCAGTTTTTCAATTTGGTAATTTTTCAATATTACAGATTTTCATTTTTCGATTTTTCATTTTCTCAATTTTTTGTTTCCGATTTTATATCACAATCTTTCGTTTTTTCATTTCCTTTATTTTTTGTTGTTTCTTTCGATTTTACAATTTTTCGTTTGTTCAATTTTTCAAATTTTCAGAATTTTTTCAATTTTTCTTCAAATTTTCAAGTTTGATTTTCACTTTTTACATTTTTCAAGTTTTTATTATACTTGCACTTTTTCGTTTTTTTATTTTTAATTTTTTAATTTTACAGTTTGTCGATTTCCAGATTTTTCCAATTTTCCAATATTACAATTTCTTATTTTTCCATTTTTCACATTCACGATTTTTTATTTTTCCCTTTTTCAATTTTTCGTCCCCTAAATTTTTCAACAAGTGTTTATAAAAAAAAAAAACATTTTCAAAAATCGAAATTGTGTTTTTTCAAATAAAACACCCAGTATCTTATTATTGCATCTTGTTGTATTTTTTGTTCTCTCTGGTCAAAAAGAGACAAGAAAGGGAATTAAAGAAAACGAAAACGACAAAAAACTACATGAAAAGTAATTAAAAAAAAAAAAAAAAAAGTGAGAGTCAGAAAAAATGACGAAAAAAAACCACCGACAGGTGAAAACCAATGAAAAAAGGGAACAAAAATGTGCAGTTGCAGTTTTTGTATTTCCAGTCTTCCGATTTTCCAAATTCTTTAATTTTCAATATTTCTATTTCATAATACATATTTCTTTTTTTTTTCGATTTTTCACTTTTTCGATTCTTAAGATTTTTCAAGTTTTCATTTTGTAATTTTTCGTTTTTTATTTTTGATTTTTCAATTTTACAATTTCTCGACTTCCAACATTTTCAATTTTTCTTTCCTTCACTCTCTCGGTTTGCATCAGTTATTCAATTTGGCAATTTTTCGATGTTACAGTTTTTCATTTTTCGATTTTTCAGTTTCTCAGTTTTTAATTTTTCCCTTTTCCAATTTTTTGTTACCGATTTTTATTTTTCATTTTCCCGATTTTTAATTTTCACCTTTTCGATTTTATATCACAAATTTCGTTTATTTTTTGTTGTTTCTTTCGATTTTACAATTTTTCGTTTATTTAATTTTTCAAATTTTCAGGTTTTTTTCAATTTCTTACATTTTTCAAGTTTTTATCATACACTTTTTCGTTTTTTATTTTTGATTTTGCAATTTTACAATTTGTGAACTTCCAATTTTCCAATATTACAAAATCTCATTTTTCCATTTTTCACATTCTCGATTTTTAATTTTTCGTCCCCTCAATTTTTCAACTCCCCGATACTATTATTTTGCATTTTCCTGATTTTTTTATTTTTCATTTCCTGGATTTTATATCACAATTTTTTGTTTTTCCATTTCCTTAATTTTTGTTGTTTCTTTCGATTTTCCAATTTTTCGTTTATTCAATTTTTCAAATTTTCAGGCCAACAGTTTTATGCTTCGATTTCTGAATTTTTTTTCAAATTTTCAATGTTTTATTTCATTTTTAAAATTTTTCAATTTTTTTTATTTCTCGATTTATCGAATTCAGATGTTTAGATGTTTTGATTGTTCAATTTCTCAATTTATCAATTTTTTTCTATTTATCAATTTTTCGATGTTTCGATTTTTCAGTTAACCGATTTTTAAATTTTTTTAAAGTCTGGAGTTTCGATTTGTCGATTTTTCAGTTTTTCGATTCTTAAGTTTTAGATTTTCGAATTTTTATTTTTTGATTCTCTGATTTCTCCATTTTTCAATTTTGCGATATTTCAATTGTTCGATGTTTTAAATTTTAGATTTTTCGATTTCTGGATTTTTTGATTTTTGAGTTCTGCAGTATTTCTATTTTCCAATTTTTTAAATTTTGACGTTGCTAAATTTTCAGTGTTCCGATTTTACATTTAATATATTTCTTTTTATTTTCCCGTTTCTCGAATTCGCAGTTTCGATTTTTCAGTTCTTCACTTCTTCGATTTTTGGATTTTTCAGTTGGCAATTTTTTTAATTTCTCAATTTTGGATATTTGTTTCAGTTTTGGGATTTTTCAAAATTTCTATTTTTCGACTTTTCGATTTTTTATTTTTTGGATTTTCAGTTTTTCGTTTTTTAAACTATAGATTTTTCAATTTTCGACTATTTTATATATATTTCGATATCTGAATTTTTCGAGTTTTCAGTACTTGTATATTTTAATTTTTCTTTTTTCCGAATTTTTTATTTTTCGATTTTTCAATAATTGTTTGAGAACTCGATTTATCGAGATTAGGATGTTTCGATGTTTTGATTGTCTCGGTTTTTGAATTTTTCGATTTATCGGTTTTTTACTTATCGGCTTTTTGATTTTTGAATTTTTGAATTTCTTAATTGCCCAGTATTTGGATATTTCGTTCAATTTTCTGAGTTTTTTCAGTTTTTCGAGTGTTCAATTTAATATTGGGATTTTTTACTATTTCGACTTTTGGATTTTTCACGTTCTGGATTTTTCAATTTCTCGACTTTTTACTATTTGGATTTTCAATTTTTCGTTTTTTGAACTTTCGGTTTTCACAATCTTTCAACTTTTCGATATTTTAAATTTTGAATTTTTAAAATGTTAGGTTTTTCGATTTCTCGAGTTTTCAGTTCTATATTTGAATTTTTCAATTTTCAAAATTTAAAGTTAATTATAAGTTACTTTTTTAAAAGACACGTTAGAAGAACACGAACAAAAACAGAGTAAGATACAGTAATAAAAATACAGGGTGTGAGTGAAAATTAAAAAAATTGGCGATTGAAATTCCATTTATCATCGGATTGTTTTTGCCTCAAATTGACGTCTCATTATCTTATCACAATGCCGCAAGTGTCACAAGTTTAGAAAAATGTAAACAAATGGCTATTAAGCTGGTTGTCGAATTTTTATTTATTAGTTGAAATTTGATTATTAAAATTCGTCAAAAAGGAATAAAAACAAATGTTCTCGTGAATAAACGCGTATTTAATTCACGTGTTATATTTATTAAGTTGTTACAGATACAAAAAATATTTGGAATCATAAAAAATTACTTAAAAAATGCACTAGGCCACTTTTGAGAAATCGTAATGTGTGTGGTTGGCAAAGGAGAAACACTGCGTCGAGTGGTCAGTTCCCTCGAAATGGTTTCAAAAAACAAGCCCTTCTTCCAGTCCCCTCTAAAGATCTCCTTCAATACCCTAAAATAAACAAATAGTTGTTAAAAAAATCGAAGCAACTAAAAATAAAATAAAATCAAACTGACAAATGAACTAAACAACTTACCATAAATTTTTTTCTGTTTTTTGTACATAGTGAAGCTTACAGGAATCCTCAGAATCCAACATAGCGATGAGTGGAGGCCTCGCCATCAGATCCATCAAGTCTGAAACTATATTTTTTTTAATCTCGCATTTAATTTCTTTGGCTAACAACGCGGTGTAAAGCTGCAACAGACTATTTTTATTCAAAGAAATCATAACTGACGGACTTACAGGAATTGCGATTCTTTTATCGTTAGAGACAATCACGACATTGGCAGTTCTTGTAATTTCGTGATACGGAAGTAAAATTTCGATTACGTTTCCAACGTTAAAAGAAAGATCAACAGCTGCCACCCTCAGTTGCTTCTTTGACTTTACTCTATGGCACATTTTCAGTAAAGAGTAAAATCTGCCACCGCTAGCGACCAGCTGTCCTTGGCACATCACTTTGAACATGAAACTGGAAGGGTAACTTTGGTTTGTGAAAAGCGGCAACAAGACGATTCTAGATTTCTACAACTTTTACGTTTTAAAGAGAGAAAAAAGAAAAAGTGGTAGCTTACGACTCCAAATTTTCTCGCATTTTCTTGTATGGTCTTCAATTGGTTCAGTCCATGCGTTAAGGAACCAACACCGATTTTGGTGAATGCTTCATTTTCGTCGTTGTTTCGAAACTGCTGCACAATTTTTTCAACTTCTGTTATTTGATATGCTTGAATCATTTTCAGTAGGAACGATTCAACTTCGGCATCAACTCCAAACCCGGCAAACGATTCAATATAGGCCAACCTTTCCTAAAATTGTAAATAGTGAGAGCCCGAAATCGAACCAGTCCTATTTATTTATTTACCCGCGTCATGAGAAAATTGGTTAGAATAGAAGCATCTTTCTTGGAAAATTTACAGTGCTTCATTATTGCCGAAAAAATAGCTCCGTGACTCACCACGAAGGCAATTTCTTTCCCGCTTTTTGACAACACTTCGTTGCATATCTTCTCAGCGACGTAAAGCAGCTCAGCATCTATGGTGTAGTCGTCCGGCTCAGAAGCAATAACTTGAAAAGCACACTCCTGACTTTCAACCGGCAAAAAATAACCTTCGTTGAAAACTTTGCCGGTTGAAAACCGACGAATATTTTTAATTTTTTTCGTAGTCACGTAGTACGAAAATGCAATTCTGGATGTATTCGACACCGAGAAAAAATTCCCGCTTTTGCTCAGTAGAGTCGTCAAGTGATCGTTGTGGTTGTTGAAGGACGGTACAAATGTTGGCATGGAAATGCTTTGACCACCGTGTTGTCTAAAAATCTAGATCTTTGTTGGATTAAACGCCACTAACTCACTGAGTTGTGTATAAAGTACCTTCACAGCCGTCGCTAAAAACAAACTTGCGAGTTCTTCATTCTGAGCGCTTGTTGACTTCAACACTCTCTCAAAAGCCCTCCACTCTTGGTTGGTAACTCTTCTGTTTTGTTGGATCACGGTTTTAATTTCGTCGATAGATTTTTCCGAGTTGAGAATTTTGAGGACTTGCTCGCACGTAGGTCTTTCGTTGTGGTTGATGTGAAGCAGCGTCCTAAAAATGTAAAAAATTGGTCCAATGTTATTTTCCCCGTTTGTATTAGGTACTCTTACTTTAGAAGATTTTTCTTGTTGTGAGTGTTCGTCAAAAACGTTATATTTTTCCACTTTTGTCCAGTCAACGGAAACGTGAGACTCTTCTCCATATGGGTCATGGGTTTGGAGCACATTTCAAAGTACGTAACACCTGCAACCCTCAAGCTAGAATTTCAACCAAAACCCGTCCCGACTCACCCAAGCTATAAATATCAGCTTTGACGTTAAACCTATTCCCGTGGTACAACTCCGGCGCTATGTAAACCGAAGTACCGCAAGCTGCTGTGAGCGATCCGTACGGAATTTCCCCACCTTGCGCCCCTTCGAACTCGCTCTCCAGCGAAATCTGCTTCGACAACCCAAAATCGCCGATTTTGATCACATCGTCAGACGTCAAAAAAATATTTTCGGGCTTGAGGTCTCTGTGGACGATGTTGTGTTTGTGAATGTAGCACAACCCGTCACAAATCCCCTTAAAATATTTCGTAATTCTTTTGTCTTCGAGGTATAGATTGTTGTCAATGGTGTTTCTCAAAGTGCGCTTTTCGCACAGTTCCATTTGGATAAACAAGTACTTTAGTTCTTTGTAGTTAGGCTCGAAAGCCACGTAGCTGTCGTCGTCTTCGTCTTCTTCCTCTTCGTCTTCTACGGAGCATGCGTCCTCAGATTCGTCATAATCTTCTTCTGACAAATCAAAGTCGAAATTGTCGTCGTCTTCACAAACGACCTCGTCACTGATGCACCCTTTGAGAGACAGTTTTTGAATTTCGGAACATAAAGACTAGAATAAGAATATTAATAACAATAATAAAAGTTTGAAGTAGAGCGTACGTCCTCACTCCCACAATCCGACTTGAACTTTTCGTACTCTGCAAGAGGAATCTGAGCCGTTTCGATCCACGAATTGAAATAGCGAACGATGTTATTGTGGCCTAACTTTGACAGAAAATTGGCTTCCCGTCTGATGGTCCCGACGTCCTCCATATTGGAATCGAATTTGATAATTTTGATGGCGAATTCGTTGTCGTCGCATTTACGTTTGGCCTGTATTTAAACAAACAAATTTATTATAATAACTACTATAATAACACTGTATTGAAAATATGTAAAATGTGCATCCGAAAATACTTATTTTGAATATGTTTAATAAAACGAAATGTACCCCGCCCACCCGCCCTATCTCAATTGTGACGATTTTTTTGATTTTTTTGTATGAAAAAATGATATTAATATACATCAAACTGCAGCTTTTTTCATATTCTAGAGCGCAGAGACCAGTTCAATCAACCAAAAAAATATGGCTGAGAAATATCGTAAAAAATGCACCATTGTATGTTTTCTTTTCAAGTTTTTTGAGTCATAACCATCATAGAGTCGCTTGAAAATTCGCACATGGATAAAATATCACTTTTTACAGGCCGCAAAGTCATTAAATGTTTGTTAGAGGTACAATTTGTTTAAATAATAATGTGTACATTAAAATCAAAATATACCACAAATTAATGCAAAATACGTCGAATAATTTTAACAGGAATATCAGAGGAAAATTAATGATCTATTGGTTAGCAGAGTTTTTAACAAAAACTAACAATTATTGAAAAAAATAGGTATCAATTCGACAGATTTTGAGCAGTTGTGACTCAAAAAATTTAATCAATGCGCAAATTTATTTTAATAATTTAATCAGAAACTATAAAACCGAATGCTTTGAAATCTTGGAAATATTTTAAATTTATCATAAGCATGGTAAATTTTTGATCAAAATATATTTGCTCATCCCTCCTAAAAAATGGATGACGCCACACCAAAATTTTGCTGAATAAATCCTATCTAAAATGTATAAAATATGATGAGTCTCTTCTTGTGATTTATCATTCCATTCATGTTTTTTGGATTTGCATATACAGAATCACCCCAAAAATTAATGAATGCGTAAATTTATTTTATTGATTTAATCAGGAACTACAGAAAACAATGCTTTGAAATCTTGCAAACGTTTTGAGGTTATAAAGAGCATAATAAATTTTTAGTCAAAATATATTTGCTTATCCCTTCCAAAAAATTGATGACGTCAGCTCAAAAGTTTGCCGAATAATTCTATTTAAAATGTACAAAATATGATGAATCTCTTCTTGTAATTTATCATTCCATTCATATTTTTTGGATTCGGATATACAGGGTGACTCAAAAAATTTAATGAATGCGCAAATTTATTTTATTGATTTAATCAGGAACTACAAAACCGAATGCTTTGAAATCTAATGTGAAAAAAAAAACATAATAGGCATGCAGTCGTCACGTTTCCGATAGCGAGGGAAGTACTGTCTCAACTCTTTATACCGATTTTTTTTATTTTCTCATTTCTCCATCTCTCAATTTTTCAATGTTTCAGTTTGGGATTTTTTCACTGTTTCGATTCTTTAATTTTCCTTCCATTTTTAGGTTTTTTAATATTTCAGCTTTGGAATTTTGCAATATTTCGTTTCTTCAATTTTTCAAATTTTTGATATTGTGTTTTCTTGGTTTTTAAATTTTTCGATATTTTAATTTTTCAGTTTTTAAAGTTTTAGGTTTTTAGATTTCTCACTATCTCGACTTTTCGATTTTTCAGTTCCATGGTTTTTCAATTTGTCGAATTTTTAAATTTTAGATTTTTTGTTTTCTTTAATGTTTTGAGTTCTCGATCATTCGATTTTCTGAGTTTTCAGGCTTAGATTTTTTTTGTTGTTGAATTATTGGATTTTTAAAATTTTTGTTTTTTAAATTTTCCTATTTATCAACTTACTGGGATTTCAATGTTTTGATTTTTTGATTGTTCAATTTATCGATTTTTTGAATTTATAGTTTTTGATACGATTTTTTTTTTCAAAAATTTTCACTTTTTCAATTTATTAACTTTACGATACTTCAGATTTGCTCGATTTCGATTTCTCAATTTTTCGACATATTACTGTTGGGATTTTTCAATTTATCGATTCTTCGATTTCTGGATTCTTCATATTTTCGGTTTATCGAATTTCTTCATTTTTCGATTTCTCAATTTTCCGATATTTCAGTTTTAAGATTTTTGAATTTTTTTATTTTTCAATTTTTAATTTTTGACGTTTCTAAATTTTTCGATTTCTCAATTTTTCGATTAACTGATTTTTTGATTTTCCCACTTCTCTATTTCTCGATTTTTCAATTCTTTCTTCAATTGTGATTTTTCAATTTTTCAATGTTTCAGTTTTGGATTTTTTCACTTTTCCGATTCTTCAATTTTCTTTCCATTTTTCAGTTTTTCAAGATTTCAGTTTTGAATTTTTTCACTTTTTCGATTTTCCTTCAGTTTTTCAGTTTTTCAGTATTTCAGTTCTGGGATTTTGCAATGTTTCGGTTCTTCAATTTTTCCATTTTTTGACGTTGCGATTTCTCGGTTTTTCAATTTTTCGATAGGTATTTTAATTTTTCGATTTTTAAGTTCTAGATTTTCCGTTAATTTTTTTTGTTTTCCTTGATGTTTTGATTTGTCGATTATTCGATTTTTCAAGTTCTCGGTTTAGATTTTTTGGTTTTCCAATTCTTCGATTTTTAAATTGTTTAATTTTTAGATTGTTCAATTTCTCGATTTCTAGACTCTTCAATTTTTCGGTTTACCGATTTTTTTTTCATTTAAAATGTTTCAATTTTTCAATTATTAACTTTTCGATTTTTCAATTTTGGTCTAATTTGATTTCTTATTTTTTTTATTTTTTGACTCCTCTACTGTTGATGTTTTGATTTCTCAATGTTACAGTTTTTGAACATTCCGACGTTTCGATTTTTCGACTTTTTGGCTTTTCGAGTGTTCAATTTTTTGATTTTTGAATTTTAGATTTCTGTTTTTTTGATTTTTTAGGTGTTTCGATTTCCCAATTCTTTAATTTTTTGATATTTTAATTTTTCAATTTTTCGAATTTTTAAATTTTTGATTTTTGATACGATTTTTTTTTCAAAAATTTTCAGTTTTTCAATTTATTAACTTTACGATACTTCAGTTTTGCTCGATTTCGATTTCTCAATTTTTCGATATATTACTGTTGGGATTTTTCAATTTATCGATTCTTCGATTTCTCGATTCTTCATATTTTCGGTTTATCGAATTTCTTCATTTTTCGATTTCTCAATTTTCCGATGTTTCAGTTTTACGATTTTTAAATTTTTTTATTTTTCAGTTTTTAATTTTTGACGTTTCTAAATTTTTCGATTTCTCAATTTTTCGATTAACTGATTTTTTGATTTTCCCATTTCTCTATTTCTCGATTTTTCAATTCTTTCTTCAATTGTAATTTTTCAATTTTTCGATGTCTCAGTATTTCAATGTTTCAGTTTTGGATTTTTTCATTTTTCCCATTCTTCAATTTTCTTTCCATTTTTCAGTTTTTCAAGATTTCAGTTTTGAATTTCTTCACTTTTTCGATTTTTCAATTTTCGTTCCATTTTTCAGTTTTTCAATATTTCAGTTTTGAGATTTTACAATGTTTCGGTTCTTCCATTTTTCCATTTTTTGATGTTTCGATTTGTCGGTTTTTCAATTTTTCCATAGGTATTTTAATTTTTCAATTTTTAAGTTCTAGATTTTCCGTTAATTTTTTTGTTTTCCTTGATGTTTTGATTTGTCGATTATTCGATTTTTCAAGTTATCGGTTTAGATTTTTTGGTTTTCCAATTCTTCGATTTTTAAATTGTTTAATTTTTAGATTGTTCAATTTCTCGATTTTTAGATTTTTCAATTTTTCAGTTTACCGATTTTTTTTTCATTTAAAATGTGTCAACTTTTCAATGATTAACTTTTCGATTTTTCAATTTTGGTTTAGTTTGATTTCTTAATTTTTTGATTTTTTGACTCTTCTACTGTTGATGTTTTGATTTCTCGATGTTACAGTTTTTGAACATTCCGATGTTTCGATTTTTCGACTTTTTGGCTTTTCGAGTGTTAAATTTTTTGATTTTTGAATTTTAGACTTTTGTTTTTTGGATTTTTTAGGTGTTTCGATTTCCCAATTCTTCAATTTTTCGATATTTTAATTTTACAATTTTTCGAATTTTTAAATTTTTGATTTTTCTTTTCTTTTATTTCTCATTTGGATTTTTTAAATTTTACATTTTTTGATTTTACTATTTTTTGATGCTTGGATTTCTCAATTTTTCAAGTTTTCAATACTCAATTTTTCAGGATTTGAATATTGAGAACTTTTCAATTTCTGGATTTTCAATTTTCAGATATTTTAATTTTTTGATTTTTTTAATGTTTCGATTTTTGGGTGTTTTGATTTTTCGATTTTTCCGATTTGTTGTCTATTTTAAGTATATTTCATTTTTCAATTTGCGCCTTCTGCAGGAGTATTATTTGTTGTGTTGCACTTGACGGGCGAGGGAAGTTCTGTCGAAATAACCTTCGACCAATTTTTATACTTAGCACGTAGGGTTCTTACTAAGCATTCCTTATTTAACCGAACAGTTATTAATTTAACTAAGTAGCTATTATTTCACCAAGCGTATATTATTTAAACTGAGAATTTATTTTTTAACTGAGCATTTATTATATAACTTAGCATTTATCATTTTACCGAGCAAAAATACAGAGCGTTTAAAAATTGAACTGTGCATTTAATTTGTTCCCCTATCTAAATAACAAGAAAACGGTATTAATAATACACTTATAGGCGAATTAATAGACGGGCTTGATAAGACAGTGTCTAAATTGTGTTTGAATAATATAATAATTATCTCGAATATTAAAATTAAAATGTCAAAAGAATACGAGAAATGATTATTCTGTGCTGAAGGTATGTTGTGGGCCGCCTGTCATAAATTATCATTATTCGCGTCAGGTAGATTTAAAGAAGAATTGCTGGTTGCGTTTAAGGCAACAAATGGCGCCCAATTCAAACTTGTCTCTCGTCTAGCGTTCCCCCTTAACTGCAAAATCCTTATTTCTCTACGACAAATTAAGAACATATTTTTGAGTATCGTGTTGTTCAAAGAATACTATGTACATTAAGAGAAAAATAAAACCATAGATTAAGCCCCACCTATGCCTTGATCTAAATAGTAATGAAGTTTTCATTCGTTTGCAGACCTAGGGGCAGAGCCCATATTTCCTTACAAACATTTACCATTTTAAACGTATTTTAGGTTTCTAAGAATAAAAAAACCATCACAATTGAGATGGGGTGGGTGGGCGGGACTTATATTTTACCTTTTCTTTTTAATATACATATGTATATAGTGTTCTTTGCACAACACGATACTCATTCTTAATTTTTTGTAAAGAAACAAGTATTTTGAAGTTAAGGTCAAGCTAAACTTGACTCACGACGAATAAAAAAATCATCACAATTGAGATAGGGTGGGTGGGGGGGTTTACACTTTGTCTTTTTGTATTAATATGTGTAGACTTATTTTCACAAAATGAAACTTAAAACATGTATAAAATGGAAAATTTGTATAAGGAAATATCGATTTTTCAATAGGCTCCGCCCCATAATTGCAAATTCCATGTTTTCTTTCAAAAACTGTTTTAATCCTGTTTTAAGTTTCTTGTTATGAAAAGATGGCTGTGTACATTAAGAAAAAAAAAGGCAAAATATAAGTTAAATCAATAACTCACATGTAGACACTCGTGTACTTACCTTGATTATTTGTCCGTAGCCGCCTTTTCCCAGGGATTCCCCTAAATCGAAATCATGTTCTAATTTCGTCACGCTTTTGTCGTTGCTGTCCTTGCTGCTAAATCTTGAAATCGTTCGATGCATTCTGGTAAATTATTGAGGCACACAAAGTGAATTAAAGCCGGTGTTTATCCACCGCGAATTAAACAATGGGTGTGTTGTTATTGGTTGTGTTATCTGACGTTATCACAACTTTGTTGATATCGATTTACTTTTAGTTCATGAATTTGATAACAGAGTTAGTGTCACTGGGTGTTTATAATTATTGATTTACCGGCCGTTTACTGGAGAGCGAACCATCACTGTGAAAGTCTATTTTTAACTGAGTTATCTTTGTGCATGCGTTGAAGCAACATTCGCTAAACCAGTTTTGCAATGGTTCGGTCTAAGTGTATTTGGTTATCTTACGTTGGTACCGTTGTCAAATAATTGGTGTTTGAAACCGTGCTTCGCTTCGGGCAACTTCGTTTAAAACTACTCATTAATGTTCATAAAGATTAGTGGTACTGAAGTTGATTTTTTTTTTAATTAAATTTTGTTGTTTTTCTTTAAAAAGTGTTTATCATTTTGTTTTGATTGTAATACGCTAATTTTTAAAACGGGAGAATGTGCCATAAAAGTAGAAAATGGAATGACATAGAAGTATATTTGGTTGCATAACTTAATTTTTATCTTCTAATTTTTAAATATTGCGATTATCGAAACAAGTTTGACTTAATAATGTTATCATCAGCAACTTCCCTGACAAATCCAATTCTCATCTGACTCGGATTATTCGGATTGGACGTTTTAAATGAAATTTATAAATTGAAATCAGTAGAAAGTAAAACAGTAAGCTTCACCCACTTTTTTTTCATCTATTTAAGCTATTTTTCTTATTTTTTGTTATCTATTTTAAGGTGCTGTATCATTTTTTTACGCAAACAGACCAATTTTGACGTTGAAGTTTTTTATTGCTTTTTTATAAAATAAAAAATTTAGTTTTTGTCGTGAAGTATTCCCATTTTTGACTTTATTTTTTAAAAAGTTGTGGATTTTTAAAGATTTTGACCATGATTCCAGTGGATCCATATAGAAATCACTGACTTGGAGTTTTTACAAAAAAAAATATATATATAAAAAAACATCAACGTCAAAATTTGCCTGTTGTGTTAAAAAAATTATAAAACACCTTATAATAAATTAAATAACAAAATGTGGAGCGAAACGTACCATTTTATTTACTACTAGTTTACCCCTTTCTTTTTGGTGCATGTGTGATTCATGAATCCGTGTCGAGTTTTCACCCTAGACATCCAGATGTTTAGGGAAAAAATCAAAATTGTATAACATTTTACAAGTTAACATTGAAATTGCAAAACCGAATACTGTGAAATGATGCAAATATTTTAAGATTGTGGCGGCACAATAACACGTCGGTAAGCAGAGAAAGATAAGTGGCCTCGTGGTCCAGTGGTTAGGATACTTGCCCGGAGAGCGAGACATTTTTCTCTGCTTACCTACAATATTATTTGAAAAATGGTCAAAATTTGTCGAATTGGTTTCACGCTTTAACTGCCATTTTTTTCAGTCTGATAACACATTCACAACACTCATGTTGACAAAATGATATAATTTCAACTGCACCAATCGACGAACTTTTCTCTTAATATTATGCAACAATATGCAACCCATAAAGCTCGACTTTTCCAGAGACATTAAGTGGATTTTCAGCACGTATTTTTTATATTTCTTGTTTGTAGATTTGTAAAGCGGTTTACTCGACCGTTTCAGTTTTCCATTAAACGTGATTTTGGGTCAAACGAAGAAATTATTATATTTCATAGGAATTCACGTAGTGTAAGAATAGTTTGTTAAAACTTGTAATCATCGTTCTTAATAAAATTTAATTTTTTGAAATGTGTATGCAGGTTTTGAACGTTTTTGTCGTGCGATAATAATAGGACCATAGTAGTATCATAGTCACAAATGTTATCAGTAAATATATTTTAAGACAGTAGGTTTCTGTGGAAGAGAAATTAAAAAAAATATGTCTCTTAGAGTCATGAAAATAACAGAAGAGGCGAACGCAGGGACTCATGTAATGATTTCAGGGTGTAAAATGAGCTATTTTCGAAAATTACATACATACACATATATAGGACTTTATTCATGATATACATATAATAATACATAATTAGGCTGAATCTAACCGTAGGCTGTTCCACTCAATCTTACCAAATAGTTATTAAATGCGAAACAATAAAATAATAATAATAAAATTAACATAGAAATGCAATAATAGCTAGGATGAAACTTAATATCAACATCCATCAACAAAAAAATAGAAAAGGCTCGGATAATATGCAAAATACATATTTTTGCATATTCAGCACATTTAACTATCTTTATTGCATGTTTTAAAATTTTTGCTACAGAGGCCTTAACAATAATAAGAGTAACAATAATAACACAAATAACGACAGGTATGACCATAAAAAGACTTCGTATATTAAGAAAAAATGGACAAAATATAAGCCCCGCCCACCCACCCGTTCTCGATTGTGATGAATGTTTTATTCATTGTAAGCTGAAGGGCGGAGTTTAGCTGCAAAATTGTCATTTCTCTACAAGAAATTACCATATGAAATTCATCACAATTGAGATGGGGCGGGTGGGTGGGGCTTAATTTTCGTTTTTTTTTTTTAATATATAGAGTTTTCTTTCAACAAAGAGATAGCTAAACATGTTTTCGGTTTCTTGCTGTAAAAAGAAGACTTCGTAAATTAAGAAAAAGTGGACAAAATATTAGCCCCGCCCACCCACCCGTTCTCGATTGTGATGAATGCTTTATTTATCGTGAGCTGAAGGGCGGAGTTTAGTTGCTAAATCTTCATTTCTGTACAAGAAATTACCATATGAAATTCGTCACAATTGAGACTGGGGCGGGTGGGTGGGGCTTAATCTTCGTTTTTTTTTTTAATATATAGAGTTTTTTTTCAACAACGGGATAGCTGAACATTTTTTTGGTTTCTTGTTGGAAACAGAAGACTTCGTAAATTAAGAAAAAGTGGACAAAATATAAGCCCCGCCCACCCAACCGTTCTCGATTGTGATGAATGTTTTATTCATTGTAAGCTGAAGGGCGGAGTTTAGTTGCAAAATTGTCATTTCTCTACAAGAAATTACCGTATGAAATTCATCACAATTGAGACTGGGGCGTGTGGGTGGGGCTTAATCTTCGTTTTTTTTTATTATATAGAGTTTTCTTTCAACAACGCAATAGCTGAACATTTTTTTGGTTTCTTGTTGGAAACAGAAGACTTCGTAAATTAAGAAAAAGTGGACAGAATATAAGCCCCGCCCACCCACCCGTTCTCGATTGTGATGAATGTTTTATTCATTATAAGCTGAAGGGCGGAGTTTAGTTGCAAAATTCTCATTTCTCTACAAGAAATTACCATATGAAATGAATCACAATTGAGACTAGGGCGGGTGGGTGGGGCTTAATCTTCGTTTTTTTTTAATATATTGTTCTTTTTCAACAACGGGATAGCTAAACATGTTTACGGTTTCTTGTTGGAAAAATAAGACTTCGTATATTAAGAAAAAATGGACAAAATATAAAACCCGCCCACCCACCCCTTCTCGATTGTGATGAATATTTTGTTCATCGTGAGCTTAAGGGCGGAGTTTAGATGCAAAATTCATTTCTCTACAAGAAATTCTCATATGAAATTCATCACAATTGAAACTGGGGCGGGTGGGTGGGGCTTAATTTTCGTTTTTTTTTAATATATAGAGTTTTCTTTCAACAACGGAATAGCTGAACATTTTTTCGGTTTCTTGTTGGAAAAATAAGACTTCGAAAATTAAGAAAAAGTGGACAAAATATAAGCCCCGCCCACCCACCCGTTCTCGATTGTGTTGAATGTTTTATTCATCGTAAGCTGAAGGGCGGAGTTTAGTTGCAAAACTGCCATTTCTCTACAAGAAATTACCACATGAAATTCATCACAATTGAGACTACGGCAGGTGGGTGGGGCTTAATCTTCGTTTTTTTTTTTAATATATAGAGTACAATTGAGACTGGGGCGTGTGGGTGGGGCTTAATCTTCGTTTTTTTTTATTATATAGAGTTTTATTTCAATAACGGGATAGCTAAACATGTTTTCGGTTTCTTGTTGGAAAAAGAAGACTTCGTAAATTAAAAAAAAATTTACAAAATCCAATTTATGAGTATGAATTAATCAAGTAGCCCTTTCCTCTGCGTTGAGACACAAAATCAACCAAATTTCATTTTCTTTTAACCGCTGATGCTTGTAATTTGAACGGGCTAATAGTCGAATTCGGTCGAAGTATAAACATAAACACGTGAAGTTTATAGAGTTTAACAGTTTTCACAAAACTAAAATCACAAAATCTAATTTCATATTTTTTAAAGAAGTGGAATTTGTCGGACTATACTTCAAGGGCGAGGGAAGTTCTGTCAGAATAAGCTTCACAATTTTTTCTACCTTTATTTCCTTGGTAGTGCCACTAAAATTTGAAAAACAACATCATATCAACATTAATAATAATACCCATACAACATGTATATAGTAGTATAAAGGCATGTTGAAACAAAAAGGTAAAATGTAAGCCCGCCCACCCGCCCTATCTCAATTGTGATGATTTTTTTTATTCGTCGTGAGCCAAGAGGGCGGAGCTCAACTGCAAAACCCTCATTTCTCAACGAAAAACTAAAAATTTGGTTTTGAGCATCGTGTTGTTGAAAGAATACTATGTATATTAAGAAAAAAGGCAAAATATAAAATTGCCAACAACAGTACAGTGGCGCCAACTTTTTAAATTTTGCCAACACAGTATGCCAACATGTGTGGTGGTTCTTGAATTTTTAAACCGGTATTTTGTGAAACCAGGAGAATTGATGCTGGATGCTGTATTCTGTGTTGCCTACACTCAGCAGTTGTTTTCATCAAATTAATAAAAATAACCTTGATAAATCCTCATTATCATTATTTCAACACATGTGCTTCGGAAAATACTTGTTTCCTGAATAGTTGTATGTAGTTCTTGCACGGCAGTGTTAAGATGGCCCTCCGAGTGACCTCTTTATTAAGAAATCTTACAAAAATTAGTACAGTGAATTGCAGAGGAGTGTCGCAGCATTACCCTATCGACGAACATATTTTTGGATTAAGTAATGAACAGATACAGGTAAATTTTCGTTTACGGGAAACAAAGACTTTTTTTGCGACTAGTTTTAAGTTCAAAATCAACTGACCTCGTTATTTTAATGTGTGCTAGACGTTTTCAATTAGTAAACATTTTCATTGTTCCACAGTCAACACGCAATTTAAATTCATAGTACAAAGAAAAATTTCGATTATTAACAAGCTGTATCTGTTTTCACTTGTGTTTTAGCTGAGGGAGACCGTTTTTAATTTCACTCAAAAAGAGCTAGCTCCGAAAGCCAACGAAATAGATAAGAAAAACGGTTTTGACGATTTAAGAAATTTTTTCAAAAAACTTGGAGACTTGGGCCTTTTAGGTGAGTGTTTTCTGTGATGTATTACTGTTATTGACTGCAGTGACAGTTTCATATTTTGCCAAATCCATTAATAAATGTTATCGCTAGTGAATGTAGATAACGCTTCATGTTATTGTTAACGCACCCAATATACGGAGCTATTTTTAAATTTTGATTATAATACACAGTGATGATAACGTATCAAATCTAGTAACATTTATTGCGTAAACATGATGGTAAAATCTATTGTTTTGTTAAAGGCATTACAGCAAATCCTGAATATGGGGGCACTGGAGGCTCGTATTTGGACCATGTCGTTATCCTGGAAGAAATCTCCAGGGCTTCTGGGGCCATCGGACTGAGTTACGGCGCACATTCCAACCTCTGCATTAACCAAATCCACCGCAATGGTACTGAAGCCCAAAAGCAAAAATACTTGCCAAAGGTACCATCAAACTTTTGTCATAACCAGATTTAGACACCCAAACTTCCAGCTTTGCTCCGGCGACCACATAGGAGCCCTAGCCATGTCGGAACCCAATTCTGGCTCGGACGTGGTCTCCATGAAGCTCCGCGCCGAAAAAAAAGGGGACCACTACGTGCTCAACGGGAGCAAGTTCTGGATAACCAACGGCCCGGATGCCGACGTCCTCGTGGTGTACGGCGTCACGGAGTCGTCGGCGAAGAAGCCCCAACACGGAATTTCCAGTTTCATCATCGAGAAAAACTTTCCGGGTTTCAAGACCGGTCCTAAATTGGATAAGTTGGGAATGAGGGGGTCCAACACTTGCGAACTGATTTTTGAAGACTGTAAAGTTCCTAAGGAGAATATGCTGGGAGGGGAGAACAAGGGGGTGTACGTTTTGATGAGCGGGTTGGATTTTGAAAGACTGGTATTGGCAGCTGGACCAGTAGGGTTGATGCAAGCCTGCTGCGATATTGCGTTTTCGTATGCCCACGTGAGGAAGCAGTTCAGAAGAAGAATTGGCGAGTTTCAGTTGATACAGGTTTTTTGTTTGTTTTTTTTATTTTGAGATAGTGTGATAATTTTTGTTGTAGGGAAAAATGGCCGATATGTATACTACTCTAGGGGCGTGTAGAAGCTACCTGTACAACGTTGCCAAGTCGTGCGACAATAAAAAAGTCAACAGTAAAGACTGTGCCGGGGTTATTTTATATTGTGCCGAAAAAGCAACGCAGGTGGCACTAGATGCCATACAGATTTTAGGTAAATTTCTTTAGATATAACTTTTTTTTTACTGTTTTTTTGTTTATTCGTAGGAGGTAACGGCTATATTAATGATTACCCTACGGGAAGATTGTTAAGGGATGCGAAATTGTACGAAATTGGGGCTGGAACGTCGGAAGTTCGAAGACAGTTGATTGGTAGGACGCTCAATGCTGAATACGCGTGATCTCTTTTAATACATTTTTTTTACATCTGTATATCGTTATTTGACTTTTTGAAAATTAAAATCTATTTTACTAAACTATTGAAGTATATTTAAAATTTATTTATGAATTATGAGTAATATTGTGAATAGTTGACCCTGGACGCTAATTTTTTTTGAAGACAATAACTCACCGAATGTCCTTGGGACTGTTACTATGAGTTAGTATAGCAAATGTTGATTGGGTGCAGTGTCACACGTCTGATTTTTACTTTGGTATCTGGGTATTTTTGGTCAGCTAGCCACTGGGATTTTCTACTTTGTTACCAACTGTATTTAAACAATTTCTTGTTTTAGTTATAATAAGTATATTAGATTTGTGATTTTTTGTCAGGTTGGCAACATTTGTCATCTTTTTAACACGTTTGCTACGCTTTGATGTTAAAATTGACAACATAGAAGGATTATTGGCAATTATTCAGAATTACCAACACAAAAATTTGCTTCAATTTATTAGTAGTCAGTGTGTTTTTTATAATACTTTCTAGCGGCAGCTATTAAATTGACCATTCACAATTCCTAGAGTATGAAAAAGTGGGTCTCGAGTTTCCATTTGAAAAGCTTGATAACGTCAATTCAAAATAATTTTGCTGGATAAATAATCTAAAATGCACAAAATGTGTAGATTAGGTTTAACATCTTTTCTGTCCTGGTTTTTTCTCTCTTTTTTGTCATTTTGTTATGTCCTTTTTTGTTGTTATTTGTTTTTTGACTTTATTGTTGTTTTTTGTCACTTTCTTTCGTCTTTTTTGCTTTTCTTGTCGCATTTTTTAAGGAGTTTTTCTAAAATACAAAAAAAATCTTTTCTGTAGTGTTTTTGTTGACTTTTTGTCGCTTTTTTGGATTTTTTTGATAGTCTGTCAGTCGCCTTGTGTGTCCATTTTTTCCTCTTTTCTTGTCTTTGTTTTTTGTTTTGGGCATTTTTGCCGATTTCTTCGACTCTGTTTTTTATTTCTTCTATAGATTACTTTGCTGGATTTTTTGTCGCTTTTTTTCTTGCCGTCTTTAGTTCCTTTTTTGTCGTTTTTTTATCACTTTTTTTCTTCTTTTTGCTCTTTTTGACGCCTTGTCACGTTTTTCGTCTTTTTTGCTTTTCTTGTTATATTTTTTGGCCCTTTGTATAGTATTTTGTACTGTCTATTTTTGTTGTTTTTTGCTTGCTTTTTGTCGTCTTTTCTCTTTTTTGCCTTTCTTATCTGATCTTTTTTATTGATTTCTTTTTGTTGCAATTGTTCTATGTTCGTTTTTTTTTTTTAATATTTTTTGTCGATTCATTTAACTCTTTCTTTTTATCCATTTTCCACTGACGTTTTTCGTTATTTTTATTTTATTTCACAGTTTTTGGTTTGTTTTTTGTAAATTTTTTGTGTCTTTTCTTGTTTCTTTTTGGGCTGTTTTTTTTTTGTCTTTTTCCTCCTCTTTTCCACTTTTTTTTCCTCTTTTAAATGAAAAAAAACATGTAAGCAATGATAATTTTTGTTTTTTTCTGTTGTATTTTTTTCGGACTTTTTTGTTGCTTTTTCGTCCTTTTTGCTTTTCTTGTTTTATTTTTTGGCCCTTTCTATAGTACTTTGTATTGTCTATTTTTGTTGTTTTTTGCCTGCTTTTTGTCGTCCTTTCTCTTTTTTGCCTTTCTTCTCTGATCTTTTTTATTGTTTTCTTTTTGTTGCAATTGTTCTATATTATTCGTTTTTTTTTTAATATTTTTGTCGATTCGTTTAACTCTTTCTTTTCATCCATTTTCCACTGACGTTTTTCGTTATTTTTGTTTTATTTCACAGTTTTTGGTTTGTTTTTTGTCAATTTTTTATTTGTGTCTTTTCTTGTTTCTGTCTGGGCTGTTTTTTTTGTCTTTTTCCTCCTCTTTTCCACTTTTTTTCCTCTTTTAAATGAAAAAAAAAAATATGTAAGCATTGATAATTTTTGTTTTTGTCTGTTGTATTTTTTTCGGATTTTTTTGTTGGTTTTTCGTCTTTTTTGCTTTTCTTGTTTTATTTTTTGTCCCTTTCTATAGTACTTTGTATTGTCTATTTTTGTTGTTTTTTGCCTGCTTTTTGTCGTCTTTTCTCTTTTTTGCCTTTCTTGTCTGATCTTTTTTATTGTTTTCTTTTTGTTGCAATTGTTCTGTTCGTTTTTTTTTAAATATTTTTTGTCGATTCTTTGAACTCTTTCTTTTTATCCATTTTCCACTGACGTTTTTCGTTATTTTTGTTTTATTTCACAGTTTTTGGTTTGTTTTTTGTTAATTTTTTATTTGTGTCTTTTCTTGTTTCTGTCTGGGCTGTTTTTTTTGTCTTTTTCCTCCTCTTTTCCACTTTTTTTCCTATTTTAAATGAAAAAAAAAAAATGTAAGCATTGATAATTTTTGTTTTTGTCTGTTGTATTTTTTTCGGATTTTTTTGTTGCTTTTTCGTCTTTTTTGCTTTTCTTGTTTTATCTGTTGTCCCTTTCTATAGTACTTTGTATTGTCTATTTTTGTTGTTTTTTGCCTGCTTTTTGTCGTCTTTTCTCTTTTTTGCCTTTCTTGTCTGATCTTTTTTATTGTTTTCTTTTTGTTGCAATTGTTCTGTTCGTTTTTTTTTTAATATTTTTTTTGTCGATTCGTTGAACTCTTTCTTTTTATCCATTTTCCACTGACGTTTTTCGTTATTTTTGTTTTATTTCACAGTTTTTGGTTTGTTTTTATTTGTGTTTTTTCTTGTTTCTTTCTGGGCTGGTTTTTTGTCTTTTTCCTCCTCTTTTCCAGTTTTTTTTCCTCTTTTAAATGAAAAAAAAACATGTAAGCAATGATAATTTTTTTTTGTTGTATTTTTTTTCGGACTTTTTTGTTGCTTTTTCGTCTTTTTTGCTTTTCTTGTTTTATTTTTTGGCCCTTTCTATAGTACTTTGTATTGTCTATTTTTGTTGTTTTTTCTCTGCTTTTTGTCGTCTTTTCTCTTTTTTGCCTTTCTTATCTCATCTTTTTTATTGTTTTCTTTTTGTTGCAATTGTTCTATGTTCGTTTTTTTTTAAATATTTTTTGTCGATTCGTTTAACTCTTTCTTTTTATCCATTTTCCACTGACGTTTTTCGTTATTTTTGTTTTATTTCACAGTTTTTGGTTTGTTTTTATTTGTGTTTTTTCTTGTTTCTTTCTGGGCTGGTTTTTTGTCTTTTTCCTCCTCTTTTCCAGTTTTTTTTCCTCTTTTAAATGAAAAAAAAAACATGTAAGCAATGATAATTTTTTTTGTTGTATTTTTTTTCGGACTTTTTTGTTGCTTTTTCGTCTTTTTTGCTTTTCTTGTTTTATTTTTTGGCCCTTTCTATAGTACTTTGTATTGTCTATTTTTGTTGTTTTTTCTCTGCTTTTTGTCGTCTTTTCTCTTTTTTGCCTTTCTTATCTCATCTTTTTTATTGTTTTCTTTTTGTTGCAATTGTTCTATGTTCGTTTTTTTTTAAATATTTTTTGTCGATTCGTTTAACTCTTTCTTTTTATCCATTTTCCACTGACGTTTTTCGTTATTTTTGTTTTATTTCACAGTTTTTGGTTTGTTTTTTGTCAATTTTTTATTTGTGTCTTTTCTTGTTTCTTTCTGGACTGTTTTTTTTTGTCTTTTTCCTCATCTTTTCCACTTTTTTTTCCTCTTGTAAATGAAAAAAAAACATGTAAGCGATGATAATTTTTTTTCTGTTGTATTTTTTTTCGGACTTTTTTGTAGCTTTTTCGTCTTTTTTGCTTTTCTTGTTTTATTTTTTGTCCCTTTCTATAGTACTTTGTATTGTCTATTTTTGTTGTTTTTTGCCTGCTTTTTGTCGTCTTTTCTCTTTTTTGCCTTTCTTATCTGATCTTTTTTATTGTTTTCTTTTTGTTGCAATTGTTCTATGTTCGTTTTTTTTTAAATATTTTTTGTCGATTCGTTTAACTCTTTCTTTTTATCCATTTTCCACTGACGTTTTTCGTTATTTTTGTTTTATTTCACAGTTTTTGGTTTGTTTTTTGTCAATTTTTTATTTGTGTCTTTTCTTGTTTCTTTCTGGACTGTTTTTTTTTTGTCTTTTTCCTCATCTTTTCCACTTTTTTTTCCTCTTGTAAATGAAAAAAAAACATGTAAGCGATGATAATTTTTTTTCTGTTGTATTTTTTTTCGGACTTTTTTGTAGCTTTTTCGTCTTTTTTGCTTTTCTTGTTTTATTTTTTGTCCCTTTCTATAGTACTTTGTATTGTCTATTTTTGTTGTTTTTTGCCTGCTTTTTGGTGTCTTTTCTCTTTTTTGCCTTTCTTGAAAGAAAAAAGAAAAAAAAAAAAAAATTTGATATGAGTTCATTATTTTGTAGACGTGTTACTGGCGTTATCGTTTTTTTATATAAATTATTAAATAATCAAATTGATTGCAGGGCCTTAACTAATTCTTTGTCCTTTCTGGTACCTAGAACTAGCAGCAGGCATTCTGTAACATTATACACTAGCATTGCTAGAACTAATTTTGGGAGAAAAGCACCGATATATCTAATAAGCTATTTTTTAAAAGAAATCGAAATGAATTCTGATTTTGACATTTTTAACACTAGCCTTAAGTCTATAAAAGACACTGTTAGAATTAAGCTTAAGTAGTTTACACTTTACTTTCAGATATGGTTTTCATACTGTTGTATTTTAATTTAAGTTATTTATTTCTTGATGTATATGCCTAGATTTACAGATTGTGTGTTTGATTTTTGATATTGCAGATAAATGTAGGTATTTATTTCGGCTTTAATTTATTCATTCATTCATTTATTTCTATTTTAATTTTATTTAAGTTAAGTTACTGTTCTTATGTTTCATTATATTGAGATCTTTGATTATTTATGCATTTAATTTATTAATTTGTTATTTTCTTTGATTCTGAATTGTTGTCATTGTTTTTATATTCTTTATAATTGTCCTGTAACTGGAATGTGTAGTTCTGTTGGGCAATAAACTTTATTTATTTATTTATTTATTTAAAAAATGAAAAACTGAAAAATCTAAAAACTGAAAACTGAAAAGTCGTGAAATTGCAAATCGAAAAATTGAAAAA